AGATCAAATTTTGAAAATATGCAAGCATTTACCAGTCTATCCAAGAGGTCTTTTTTGTTTGGGATCGGATATCTGATCCATCTCAACACTTTATTGAGTGGTTTATAATTATAACTAGTCTTGGAGCCCCTCTTTCTATTTCAGAGGTCTTTTCTACATAAAAGGCTCAACAGCTTCAGGGTGAGAAGCTTTTCCTGATAAGCTTTTTATCCAATAATTTTTTTATTTCTTTTTTACAGATTTCGAGTAACCTATTGTTCATTTGAATAGGCCTTGCTTTAGTGGGAATTTTCTTGCTTTTCAATTCCTTTGTTGATATGATTCTGGGTGAGTTCTAAGATTTAACCCTTGCTTTTAGAGCTATTAACTCATTTCCAACCTCATTGATTTCATATTTTAGCTCGGATATTAAAGGTTCTCTTTCTTTTTGTGTTTTATTTTGTACTATTTTAAGAATGTCCTGGAAACTATAATCTTCTTTTGTTGAGACAAGAGAAGACTTAGTTTTTCCAGATGGGGTTTTAGACATATTTATGTACTGGACTAGGGCTTCTCTTTTAGGCTCTGGATCTGATATTTTGTCTATGAAGTCTATAATCAGATCTTCTTCTTTTGTGATGGTATTGATGCTTAACCCGTTCATATACATGATTGCCTTGTAAAAATCACATTGGCAATTTTCTTCTTTTGGGTAATTTCCATCATCAGAGTCTGAATCAGAACTGTTGATAATAATATCCTCATCATTTATATCTCCAATCAACATTTCCTCTTCTGAATAAGAGGAATCCGAGGTTTCGTCATTTATTTGGAGTATTTAAAATAATTGTTTTTTAATATTATCATCTATTTCCAAAGAGTTAATTTTTCTTTTAACTTTACATTTATTTTTGTAATGGTCTATTTTGCTACAATTATAACAGACATGGATTTTCTTTTTTTTCTTATTTTTGAAAGATGGTTTCTCATGTAAGAATGTTTTGGAAAATTTTTCTTTTGTTTTTGAAGAATGTCTAAA